ATGAATTTTAGACGGTCGTTTAACAGTGTAATCTTCTCGTACTGTTAAGTTTAAAATCGGTCAAGAATTAGCCGATGGAGTCAAAAGGCAAGTTGGAGATCTTGTCAATACCTACATGTGGATATAAAGAACGTTAAAAACGGAGCTCGTATGCAAAAGTTATGACTTTTTTTTAAAATTGACTGTTTTACCTGCGTCCGGCGCCACGTGTCAGCACCAGACGAAGCCATGGTGCCTACGGAAAGCTCACGACGTGAGAGCCAAGTCTCACGACGTGAGAGGCCCCATACAGCTTATAAATAGAGGCGTATATCACCACCAAAACCATTATTTCTCTCCGATTACCCCCAAAACCTCTCTTCCATTCCATAGTACTTCCTAAGTGCTAGAAGCGAGTCCCGGAGATCCCGAAGGCTCCAAGAAAAAGAGTTTTTTTGGCTTGGAACTCTACCCCTACAAAGCTCGGTTTTCAAGCAAACCTCCAGGTTTCATCGAAGCGAAGCGCTGTCCAAGTTGGAATCACCACCTTATCAAGTGAGTGTATGGTTATTTTCACCTTACACATAGATATGAAGTATTTTATACAAACTACGTGCTATATGTATATATTATATGTTTACCTGAGATCTATGATGGATGAAAGATCTAAACTTCTTTCCTTTCAGATCTTAACTTTTCTTTCAGATCTAAACTTTTTCCTTCAGATCTAAACTTTTTCTTTCAGATCTAAATTTTTTCCTTCAAATCTGAACTTTTTCTTTCAGATCTAAACTTTTCCTTTAGATCTAAACTTTTTCTTTTTAGATCTAAGACATTTCTTTAGATATGAACTGTATATGTATTTTTTTGTCAGATCTAAACATTTTTCTTTAAGATCTAAACCGTATATATATATATATATATATATATATATATATATATATATATATATATATATATATATGTTATACTTTTAGATCTATACTGGATGAAAGATTTAAACTTCATTTTTTTTCTCATATCTGAACTGTATATCTATTTTATATCTACAAATATATTGGGTAAAGCATGGGTAGATGAAATAGTTGGTGTGTAATGAAATAAAATGATGAGAGACCTCGGTTGTTATAGATAGTTGCAATGGCATAATTGGATGATATGACGAGAGATTACTGATTATAGGACAATAGAAAATAAATAGAATGTTGTAAGGCATATGTTGTTTTTTTAAGGCCAATTTTGTTTTATGGCATATAATGTTTTGTTTATGCTTTTGATCTGTATTGACAATGGCATCCCAAATTTTTTATTGTAATGAAAGTGGGTTAGATCTGATCCCACATCGGCCGGGAAGGAGAACATAGCATTCCTTATAAGGGGTGTGCGTACAATATTGTGATACGTGCCAGAGGTGGGTGTTACACTTACGTCCAAACTGTAGATCCAGGTCCTTTAAGACCTCCGAAACCATAAAGTCACAAAGTTTATGTGCTTACATGCATGGTTGGGGTCAAAACATAATTTTGGTCCATTTAACAAGCTTCAAGACCAACTAGCACTTGCATAGTTGTGGCTTAACCATCAAGATCCGATTTTTATGACCATATATGCTTCTAAGAGTCCAAATGAACAGCTTACATGCATGGTTGGGGTCAAAACATGATTTTGGTCCATTTAACAAGCTTCAAGACCAACTAGCACTTGCATAGTTGTGGCTTAACCATCAAGATCCGATTTTTATGACCATATATGCTTCTAAGAGTTCAAATGAACAACTCTTATGCTCTGAAGCCATCAATACTCAAGCATTCTCAACAATGGAGTCTAAAGGTGACAAAAATACCCACATAAACAAATCTAAGCATACAATGGCCAAATATGGAACTTGATACCTCAAAAGGGTCAGAAGTCAGGGGTGGATCTATAATGGTGCACGGGGTTGCACCGGCAACTACTAGATTTTTTTGTATTAATTTAAAAAAAAGTTTTTTTTATTATTATGCACCTATAAAGAAACAAGTTTATTATTATTGCAATCCATACATTTTATCAAAAGTTAGGATAGTTCAGTTGGTCAAAGGCGTAGATTAAAGTTCCCATTTGTGAAATGGCTCAAGTTCGAATCTGGCCCAAAACAAGTATTTTTTTTATTTATTTATTCTTACATTCACTTGTCCTTGCCCACAATAATTTTTTTTTATTTATTTTTACATTTACTTCTACTTTTATGTACAATTTGTTATTAGCCACCAAATATATCTAGCCAACAAAAAGGGATTGGTGAATATAGCTTGTTAAAATTTAAGTCGTTTTCAGTAAAACTCAATTAAATCATTTTCTTCGTTGTTTAAAATTCATATCTTAATCGTTTGCTTTTTCATTAACTTGACAACCATTTAGTAAAAAATCACTTTTTTTTCATTAGCAAACATATGCTCCCTAGAACTCAAAATCATTTCAACCTTCTTCGTATTTAATATATATTTTTATACACAATTGGATATGTTAGAGCTACATACAAATTCTTTGTGACCCATGACCTTTCATAATTTTCTATTTAATTTCTTTTCGATGTAATAGCTTTTACATCACAAAAAAAAAAAAAAAAAAAAAAAAAAAAAAAAAAAAATCGATAAAACAATAATACAATAATATGATAAATTTTGTGAGAATAGTTTTATGTTTAAAAAACATTAATTTGTCGATATATTCATAGATTGAAACTACGTAATTTTAATATGTTCTATATGTAAGGTTTCATACACATTACACACATATGTGTATAGATGCATTACATATATTTTAAACTAAACAACTGCTTCTCTTCATAATTATTAAAACTAAGGTTAACTCAATTCATGTCTCATTCTATATTTTGAATTGATTCATTTGTTTTGTCAAGCAAAATGTATCGAACTTATACAAATGCATTTATTAGTTGGCATTTGTATAATATATATTGCTCCAATTGAACTTATAATAATGCATTAATTCATAATGAAATTTTGGTAATAAGTCTTCAAACCTTTGTACGACCACGACCAAAACGGAAATAAGCTCCACGTGACCAGGAACCTACCTATGAAAAAAACAGTTTGCCCTTCACGAAGTTTGTCTACAGAAATTTGTTTTGTTTAATGCACTCGTAACTTTTTTTGTTATATTTGATCGGAATTTTTTTGTGCTCCTACTACTACTTATTCCTGCGTCCGTCCCTGTCAGAAGTGATGCCAATCTCCTGGATCTATAAGCTCTTAGTGGATCCTTGCTTCTTCTTCAAATTCTACTCTTCCCTTCTTACTAACACAACACACAAACACTGTCAAATGGCTTCCAAATCACAAAGGCACACAAATATGAGCTAAGGTTTTCGTGGTGGCTGGCTATGGGTGAAGGGAGGCTGAACAAATAGGGGTAATGTTCTTTATATAGGGAGTAGACCCTAAATTTTAGGGTTTAAGGAGCTACACACGTACGTTGGGCATACGTGCATGGCTTCCGCGGTTCATTCTAACATGTACATTGGGTGTACATAGCAATGTACGCCCCGTGTACGCAGTTTCCTCAGCCCACTTGAAAGGCCCAAAGGTCAAAGCCCAACCAAACAATTCCACAATTTAATTAAAGATAATTAATCATAATGCCTAGAAAAATTCCAGATGTTACAAATTCTCACGTCATGAGTTTGGTTTTTTGCTAAAGTCTTCTTCTTTTAAACTCCGTTAAGCTCTTGTTTTAGCTCTAGTCCTTCCAAGCTCCAATATTTATCACTCCTGGTCCTTATTCTTCAAGAATATCATATTTGGCTGCAAAATGTAATTTAATTTAATAAGTATCAAATATCTTTGCAATTAACCAAAATATTACTTAAAATGTATTAAAATAATATCTAAATATATGTATAGATATGACAATATCAATGATTGATCAACACGAGAGCTGAGAGCTAAAGATACCTAAGGGGCGAACCAAATATAAGCTGAAGGTCAGGGGCAAAGCAGCTTCAAGCTGAAAGGCTATTATTTGTATGTATTATATATATATATATATATATATATATATATATATATATATATATATATATATATATATATATATATATATATATATTGTGGCATGTGGTATTTTGAAAAACTCATTAAACTTTGTGTTTACTGTTATGGATTAAATGTTTTTCAAGTTGTGTTTCTGGCAGTGGGAAAGCTCCAGCTTGACCCTGTTGCATGTGCGTCTCCTATCTATTATGTTATTTAGCTTCCACATTTTCGAATACATTTTACTGGTTTATCATGATTCGAAGCTTTTGTCACTTGAGATTTTTATTAAAAAATAGTTTGGAATGTTTAATTTATATTTAAAAAAAAAAAATTGGTTTCAAAATTTAGAAATTTACATACCTTAATCTTAATACCATGTTTCAATCATTATATATGTTACGTACCGTAATCTTAATGCAAGGAAAGTTTCCATCATTATATATGTTACATACCCTAATCTTAATACCAAGAAAAAGTTTCAATCATTATAGATTTCTATTTCTATGCATGGACTTTTTCTTATGTAACTTTTTATATTGTAAATTTATTATATCTCTTGAGCTTTTCTTATCCAAATACATTGGTATTTTATAGTCTCAACAAAATTATGCCTAATTAATACGAAGCGTTTTAGGGGTTTTTTTTATTATTATTATTTAAAGGAAATTCATTTGCAAGATAAAGTTAGGCCAAAAAATAATAATCGTATAATAAGATTAAATTAAGGTTAGGTTCATCCATTTTATCACCCTTTTCTTTCTCTTTTGAGATGCAATTTTGTTTGTTTTCACATTAAGTAGTGGTTATACTTATACATTCTTAATTCCTTTATCATAATAAAGACTCTGAAAGTAAAGAGATTAAATAAAAGGAAAAAAAAAAAAAAAAAAAAAACCCTAAAGATTCTAAAGTTTGTTTACACATGATGTATCAACATTGTCCAATAAATACAAAAGTAAATATAAAAACTACGACATATGTCATATGTCCTGTTTATTCACAAGGACATTGCACTATGTGATATGCCCTCGAACCACAATAGAATGGTCTCCATCGACATGTCCTACAACCAGTTTTCTTTGGACACATACGTCCTTCAACTTGATCCTCTTCCCCACTTTTTTCATTTCCCCCCTCCAAATTACCCTTTTCTTGCAGCTTTCCTCCACCGTCCCCCACAACCCCGTCACCATATCGCCGGCGATCTCCCTTCTTTCTCAATTCTATCTTCAAGATCAACAACTCCTTAAGACTAAATCCTTTTCCTTGTTTTTCTCCATACGAACTAAAAAGATATTAACTCCAAGTAGTAGTTGTTGCTGCCTTGATGAGATGAAAGCTCTGTCCTTTTCTGATTTCAGGTAAATTCGTACTTTTGAAGGGGTTTCCTAGCTGGGTTTTTTTTTATTGTGGCATGTGGGTTGTCGTTTGGCTTCTTGGATGTGTTGATGTACTGTTTACGTGATATTTAGGTAGGTACGAAATGATCCTAACCAAGAGGATTTCGTTTCTTCGTAATAATCTAACAAAAGTTGCTCTGTTAGGATTCTTAGTTGATAAGTGCAGTTCAGGATTTGTTTGAAGGAAATTGAGAATCTTTTCTTGTGTTTGGTTGGAATTTCCCCCAAAAAAAAGATTCCTTCTTTATTTTACGATCAATTAAGCAGATCCAAAATCCGCTTCCATGAAGTTGATCTTAAGATCGTGAAATCCCCCCCAAAAAAAAGAAGCCATCTATTTGGTTAGTTGTGAGCTGTGAGTTTTGATCAATGGAGGCTAGATTTGGGGGAAATCCTCATCATTACTATGGTCCTGTGGTACCGGAATTGGAGGGTGTCGGAAAGAGAAGTATGGAATGGGATTTAAACGACTGGAAATGGGATGGCGATCTGTTCACTGCCACCCCATTAAACACAATTCCATCGGATTGCAGAAGCAGACAACTATTTCCTGTTACGTCAGGTGGCTCTTCGTCTTGCTCAGATGAAGGGAAAAGGGAGTTGGAAAAAAGGAGAAGAGTTGTGATTCTTGATGATGATGAAGAAGTTGGAGGTCTTAACTTAAATCTTGGAGGCCAAGTGTACCCTATAACAGAAGACGATTTGGAAAGATGGGAAGGGAAGAGTGGCAAAAAGACTAAAGTAGCCCCAGCTTCATCAAATCGTGCAGTGTGTCAGGTGGATGATTGTCAAACCGATTTGACGGGTGCAAAAGATTATCATAGAAGACATAAAGTTTGCAATTTGCACTCCAAGGCCACCAAAGCATTGGTTGCAAATGTGTTGCAAAGATTTTGTCAGCAGTGCAGCAGGTCAGTTTCTTGTTTGTTAAAAACACTTTATTATTATTTTTTTTTTTTTATAAAATGAATTATGGGTGTGTGTGGACAGGTTTCATGCACTTGAGGAGTTTGATGAAGGAAAGAGAAGTTGTCGCAGGCGATTAGCAGGACATAACAGGCGAAGAAGAAAGACACATCCAGAAAACACAGTTAGTGGAGTGTCACTAAATGATGAAAGAAGCTGTAGTTATCTGCTTGTTAGTCTCTTGAGGATCCTCTCTAATCTACAATGTAAGAAGATTTTTATCATGAATGATGTATTAGAATTTGTGTGGTTTATATAGTTGAAAATTTTGTTGGAATTGCAGCTAATACATCGGAGCAAAACAAAGATCAAGATTTGGTGACTCATCTTTTGAAAAACATCGCCAGTCTTGCTGGTAATGTGAATGAGAAAAACTCATCTGGAATGGATGCTGGAACATCTTTTGCAACGACCCCTGAAAAGGTGAAAAAAACTTTCATTGACATGTTTTAATAATATAATCCAATATCTAACTCATACGAGTCTCTGCAGCCTGTGAGACAAATTGAAAGTGTGAATCCTTCAATGGTGGATAGAGATAGAGGGACTCCAGCTGCTTGCCAGATCACACATCCGTCAAACAACAAAGCTCAAGCTCAAGCTCAAGCTCCCATTGAAGTTGAAGCTGCTAATAATAATAATAATGGGATGGAGGGTAGAGTTGGAAAGATGAAATTGAACAACATTGATTTGAACATGGTTTATGATGAATCTCAAGATGGTATGGAGAGGAGGTTTGAAAACATAGACAATGTGCCTTTGTGGTTGCGTGGACACCCTCACAAATCAAGTCCTCCTCAGACAAGTGGCAACTCTGCTTCAACAGCAACACAGTCACCATCTAGTTCCAGTGGGGAACCACAGGTATAAAATGTTAATTGTTGCTTGCAAAAGACATGAATGCCCTCATCATCCTCAACATTGAAATAAAAGCTTCTCCAAACCCTCTTTTAGCATGTATTATTTATATCTTTCATTAAGAGTTTGTTTTTTTTTTTTTTGATATTATAATTCAGAGTCGTACAGACCGAATTGTATTCAAGCTATTTGGGAAAGATCCTAATGAGTTGCCTCTTGTTCTCAGGAACCAAGTACTCTTCTTTCCCTTTTGTAGACTTTGGGTTTTGGTTATTCTTGGATTAGACTAATCTTGTGTAAATTTCAGATCCTTGACTGGTTATTACACAGTCCTACTGATATTGAAGGTTACATTCGGCCTGGATGTATCATATTATCAGTTTATCTTCGAATGGACAATTCCTCTTGGGACGAGGTAAATCAATCTATTCATCAAAAATCGATAAAACAAACTTACAAGTGTTTTGTTATGATGCACTGCAGCTTTGCTATGATTTGAGCACCCATTTGAGGAAGCTTTTGGATGCATCAAATAATTCTTTCTGGAGAACAGGATGGGTTTATACTAGGGTTCTTGATCATGTTGCCTTTTCTTGCAACGGTCTGTGTTTACATGTTTTTAATTCTTTCTTCTTCTTTTCACTAAAAAGTAAAACTCATCCAGAATTTTCATGTGTTACAGGTCAGATTGTTTTAAACACAGCTTTGCCAAATAAACGCCATAGAAACTCCAGCATCTTGAGCATCACACCCATAGCAGTTTCTGCATCTGCCAACACTCAATTCTCTGTAAAAGGCTTCAACATATCATGGTCAACCTCAAGGTAATGTCTTAATGAGAAAATAAGGGAAAGTTTGGTAAGCAAGTAATTTAATGTCAAAATGCGTGCTGTAGGATGCTATGTGTGCTAGAAGGGAGTTACCTTGTTCAGACAAGCTGTTCAGAGTTGTTAGATGCAACAGATTTGATGATGAAGCATGAAGATATCCAGTCCCTTAGCTTCTGTTGCTCTGTACCTAATATTTCTGGGAGAGGATTCATAGAGGTGAGGTTGATTTTGTAGTTGATTGAATCTTAGGCACTTGAATAACCTTTTGGATTGTGTGTGGATTTGATTAGATTGAAGATGATAGCCTCAGCAGCAGTTTCTTTCCATTCATAGTTGCAGAAGAAGATGTTTGTTCAGAAATCTGTACACTGGAGAGTGATATGGGTGAAGAGAAGACAGAAAGAGGGGCATTGGAGTTTGTGAATGAGATGGGGTGGCTTCTTCATAGAAGTGAGTTAAAACTGAAACTGAGAATGGAGGATCCAAACACGGATGGTTTCTCGTTTAAAAGATTCAGGTGGCTGATAGAGTTTTCAGTGGACCATGATTGGTGTGCTGTGGTCAACAAACTGTTGACCATCATCCTGGGTGGGACTGTGGTGGTGGATCATGATGGCTCGGTTGAAGCTGCTTTAATGGAGGTTGGGTTGCTCCACCGAGCCGTGAGGCGAAACTCCAACAGCATGGTTCGGCTGCTCTTGAATTACCACCAACAAAATTTGTTTAAACCAGATGCTGTGGGGCCCGCTGGGTTGACTCCTCTTCATATTGCATCTGGTAAAGATGGTTCGGAGAGTGTTTTAGATGCATTAACAGATGATCCTCAAATGGTACTTTTTCTTCTTTTCTCCACTTACAATGCCCATAAAAATAAACTTGTCTTGGATTTTCTTCTTCTTAAAGAAAGTTTGTTAGCTTTTTTATGAAATGTTTTGAGCTTAGGGATTTTCTTGGATTTCTCTTTGTTCCTGAAGAAAGAAAGTTGTTTAACCTGAATAAAATCTTGATTTTGGTTCAGGTGGGACTGAAAGCATGGAGGAACTCTAAGGATAGTAGTGGCTTGACACCTTATGATTATGCATCAATGAGAGGCCATTATAATTACATTCATCTGGTTCAAAGAAAGATGAACAAGAACAAGAACAGATCAGAGAAGGGGGGGCATGTGGTGGTGAACATGCCTCCTCCGGTGGTGGCTGAGCCGCCCCATAAAGTTGCCGGATTTGAAACGGAGAAGGCTGTGGTGGTGGTGGTGCAGAAATCGTGCAGCCGGTGTGAGCGGAAACTGTCATATTATGGTGGTGGGCGGTCTTCACTGGCGATATATAAGCCGGCAATGCTGTCAATGGTGGCAATAGCTGCAGTGTGTGTGTGTGTGGCTTTGCTGTTCAAGAGTTCACCTCAGGTTATGTATGTGTTCCAGCCCTTCATTTGGGAGAGACTCAAGTATGGAGCAAGCTAAAGCTAATACAAGTCTAGGATTTCAATTTTTTTTCTTCTTCTTTTGGATATAATTTTATTAACGAAGATATGGTTATGATCCTTTATATATATAATATATATATATTCTGACTGGAAAATTTATATGTAATGTGTATATGTCTGTATTGATGTTATTCCATCCAAATACAAGCTTTTCTTCCATAGGTGATTGGGTGATACGATAACTTTTTATATTTGAGGTAGGGTCAATTTATATGTAACGTGTATGCGTCACTTTTTATATTTATAGCATTTATGTTTGTACTTCAGACTTGTCTACCAATTTCCCTATATCCACTCATAAGGAAATTCCTCTCATGAATCTCAAAACATCATCATTACTTTGTATAATTACAAGTGTTTGGAACCAAGTCAAATCTCCATGACTCCGTGTGACATAATCTTGATCTCGTGATATGTTAACCGTTGAAACAATCATGATGTGATTGATATTAGAGAGCATGTTTATTGCAATAAAATTGAGTGGCTTATGAAATGCTAATATAATTTGAAGCATTTGGAATGAATGAGATGTGTTGCATGTATGATACTTGTATTACATCAGCTCACGTTTTGTCGTGAATTTTTACGTGTTTTTGTTACATACTAGAAAAGTAGAGGAGGAAAAAATGATATTATATATATACTATGGGTAGTGGATATTGTCCTCAAAAGAATTAGTTTTACTATACAAAAAAGATTTATCGATCCAACTTGTTGTCCGTTTGTTATCCAACTCGTTGTACGATGATAACGAAGTTTTATTATATATTGAATTATGGCTTTTATAAAAAAAATTATAAATATTGCATTTTTTTAATATAAATATGGTACTAAATACAAAAACTAAATCAAAATATCAAATAATTATAAAATATTCAAAAACTATTTTTCATAATAATTGAAAAAAGTTTAATGTGTTCAATATAAAAATCTAAATTAAAATGTCAAAGCAACAAAAAAATCAAAAAACTATTTTTTATCAGTGAAAATATTTCAAAGTGGGTTTTAAATTAATTAACAATAATAGCTAACAGTACCAATCATATATAATTTTTGTTTAAAAACGCAAGTAGTAATCAATTTAATAACATTACACAACTCAAATGTAATATCACAACCTGAAGCCTTCAAAATATCATCGATATCTAAGCAACTCATAAACCTTCAATTTGAGGACTAGTCAAAACATCTAAAATCAATATAAAATAATTAAAAGAAAAAATCAATGTAAACTTAAAAACTTTTCTCAATTGTTTTAAAAAGTCCCTAATTTATTTTTTATTTTTGTTGTTGTTGTTGTTGTTATTATTATTATTATTATTATTATTATTATTATTATTATTATTATTATTGTTGTTGTTGTTGTTATTGTTGTTGCATTCTTAGAGCATAAATTTAAGTTTAAAGTGCTAAAAAAGTCATTGAACCTGTTATAATATGTTTTCTCAACCACGTAGGTAAATTTATTCTGATGTATATGCATAATCAACACTTCGTTGGCATAATTCATCTTCCCATAGAAGTATTCCGCCGAACACTTTGAGGGCAAACTCAATGATGTTTAAAGAAGGTTGATTTGTTGGGGTAATCGAGGGTAAAGTTGTATAAAGCCAATCGGTTGTCAACCATACATAATCATAGTGTATCCCAATATTTTTATTAAATTGCCATTTGTAACGAGCCAAACCTTGTACTTATCATCTTCGTTTCAAGTGTTTATCCTCTTCTTGGATACCGGTTTCACTTGTACGGGTTGATGAACATTCGACAATTCCATAAGTTCCATGTTCTGTTTTCTTCCTGGACGCCAATCTAACACATGCAAATAGCAGTGGTTTTGAAATAATTTATAGTTGTATCCTTCACTTAGCATTTAATCTCTAGCCTGAGGTAGATCGGGGAAATCGACACAGACCAAGAAAAAAAATAAGGAGTCAAATCGCCAAACACTGTTAAAATTAAGAAGTTAAAGGCAACCACTCTTAACAATGGAGTTGTAGGAGAGAGTATCCTACCAACGACGATGGGTGATAGTTTTATTTTATTTACTTCTTTTCCTAGTTTATTTTAGCTAATTTCATCTCATTTTAGTTAATTCTAATGCATATTTTCTCTTTTTTGTTATTTTCATTTTTATCGGGTACTTTCTAGTCTTTTGAGCTTAATTGCAGGATTTAACAAGACTATTCAACACGGAGGATGGAAGGAATACGGAACTTTTAGAAACTTGCGATTTACTTATGGGCTAAGCTATGGAACTCTTGGACTTAGATTGCAACGAAGAAGACAATCAGGCTTATTGCCAATATGATGATGGAGTAAGTTGGACTTAATCTTTATTTAAGAATGATGAAATACAACCTTTGGACAAACTCCACAAGTGATGGTTTGTGGAATATGTGCAACAATGTGTCATCCCACGGATATGTGTCACATTCTTCAAGAGGATGTTGAACATGTAAATGCCACTAGAGAATTCCAAAACTACCACAATAAACCATCTGGTTACCAAAATATATACAATTAAAGTTGGAAGTCATATCCCAACATAAGGTACAACCCAAGACCATTACCTCAAAATGCATTTGTTGGACCTTCTAACCCCCCCCCCCCCACACACACACACACACAACACAACAACAACCCCACTACCAACATCTATAACCCCATTATCAACCCAAACCACACCCTCCACATCATCACCAACAACCTCCTCAATCCCAACCTAGTAGCTCTGTAATGTCCCTTGAATACATTGTCAAGTCTCTTGCCACTAGCACCCAACAATTCTGAAAATAGACAAGAACTAGTATTTCCAACCTTGAAGCACAAGTGGGAGATATATTTACATCCTTAAGCAAGTTGGAGTCTCGTGACAAACTACCTTCTCAAACTGAAAAGAACCCCAATGTCAATGTGGTGACCTTGAGTAGTGGCAAACAAACCGGAGAGAGTAGCTCAAAGAAGAAGTCAAGGGAAGATGAGGAAGAAATAGATATCACTCTTATTGAAGTTCATATTGTCAATAATGATGCACAAACTGAAGTTCCAAAAAAGACTACCTCTCTAGTGACTCCAGTAACCACTCAACCACCAGTTCCCTCCCGACTTGAAACTTCAAAGAAGAATGCAGAGGAGAAAGAGATCTTGGACACCTTCAGAAAGATGAGGTAAACATTCTTTTGCTTGATGAAATCAAACAAATCCCTAGATATGAAATTTTTTTGAAAGAACTTTGCACAAACAAAAGAAAATTGAAAGGGAATGAAAATATTTTAATGAATGAAAATGCATCCGCGACGTTGCAAAGAAAACTTCCACCTAAATGCAAAGACCACGAAATGTTTACAGTTCCTTGCAAAATAGGGGATGTCACTTTTAGCAGTGTCATGCTTGATCTTGGTGCTTCTATTAATATCATGCCATATCCAGTATACAAATCGTTAAATGTTGGTCCTTTAAATGAAATGGATGTCATAATTTCACTTGCGGATAAATCAAATGTTTTTCCTACAGGTGTTCTAGAAGATGTTTTGGGGCAAGTGAACCAATTGGTATTCCCATCGTATTTCTATGTGATTGATTTATAGGAACAAGTTTCCTCCAAATCGATTCTAATCTTGCTCGGAAGACCGTTTTTGGAAACGATTAGGACAAAAATCGATGTGTATGTGGGTAGTTTAACAGTGGAATTTGATGGTGAAATAATAAGCTTTAATATTTATGATGTTATGAGATATCCTAGTGATGTATCATCTTTATATTTTGTTGATGTTGTTGAACCACTAACCCAAGAGTTGTTTGAGTTGACAAATGGTGACATGTTGGAGATGATTCTAAGCAAAGGGTTCGATTGTGGGAAACTAAACAAGAAACTAAAGCTCTATTCTCTAGATCCGGAAGTTGAAAAGCTAGTTAACAACTTGGAGGTCAAGAAAACTACACAATTCGATGTCAAGCAAATTGAGTTGCCTCAAACTTACACAAAGTTGCCACCTTCCTTTGTTCAACCACCAAAAATGGAATTGAAGGTCCTACCTCAATACTTGAAATATGCTTATCTGGGAAAGAATGAGACTCTTCCAGTTATTATTTCCACTCATTTAACCGAATTCGAAGAAGAGCAACTCCTCAAAGTGTTGGAGGAACACAAAGAAGCCATGGGTTGGACGATCGTGGATATCAAAGGATTTAGTCCCTCTACTTGTATGCATAAAATTTTGATGGAGGATGAATACAAGCCAAGCCGGGATGCACAAAGAAGATTGAATCCGCCTATGATGGAAGTTGAGGAGAAAGAAATAGTAAAGCTTCTTGATGCGGGGATGATCTATCCTATCTCGGATAGCAAGTGGATGAGCCAGGTGCAAATGGTACCAAAGAAGACGAGAATCACAATCATCAAGAATAAAAAATGTATTATGGTCCCCACCCGTGTGCAAAACGGGTGGAGGGTATGTATTGACTACCAAAAGCTTAATGCAAGCACGAGAAAAGACTATTGCCTTTCATTGATCAAATGTTAGAAAGTTTGGCCAGTAAATCTCACTATTGTTGTCTAGACGGTTATTTCTGTTTTCACCAAATTTCGATGCCATTGGAAGACCAAGAAAAGACAACCTTTACATGTTCATTTGACATTTTCGCATACCAGAGAATGTTGTTTGGATTATGTAATGCCCTAGACACTTTCCAACGTTGTATGGTTAGTATTTTCTCAAAATATGTCGAAACATAATTGGAGTTTTTATGGATGATTTTACAGTATGTGGAAGCTCCTTTCAAGAATGTTTGACTAACCTCACACAGATTTTGAAAAGATACGTTGAAACAAATTTGGTTTTGAATTTTGAAAAATGTCATTCTATGGTGAGTCAAGGTCTTATTTTAGGTCACATTGTATCAAAGAAAGGAATCGAGGTAGATAAAGCTGAAATTGATGTTATTCAAATCTTACTTATCCGACTTGTGTTCGGGAAGTTCATTATTTTTTAGGTCAGGCAGGTTTCTACGGAAGGTTCATCAAATATCTTTCAAAGATAAGAAGACCAATGTGCCAACTCTTGCAAAAGGAAGTTGATATCGAGTTCAATGAGGCGTGCAAAAAGGCTTTTGACAAGCTTAAGGAGTTGCTTACATCCGCTCCCATCATACAAGCACCAAATTGGGATATCCCCTTTGAGATCTTGTGTGATGCAAGCAACTATGCTATAGGCGCCGTTTTGGGTTAAAATAATGGAAGAGTCGCCTATATCTACCCCTGAAGGTTAATCTGGGTTCTTCCCCATTATCTACCTCTGAAGGTCCTGAAAAATGTTAGATATCAATGAGTAAGTGAAACACTTAGTAAGCTCACAAAACTATAAATTTATCATATATCACGGAGCATACAATTCTTCAATTCATCAGAATGTTATAACCTTGATTCTAGTCTTACATCAATCATCATCATACATATTTTATAACTCACATAACACATAACATCATATATAAAAAAGTGAAACTCACCTAATAGTAGCAATCGAAACAATATAGGAATCACTACAATTAAGTTTCAAGGAGGATTATGCATCTCCGGAACAACTTATACCATATAATCATACACATGACCATGTATTGGACGTCTATACTTTTCCTATAACTATCATATGAGTTCTCATCAATTCAATGGGTCAAGTTGTCTCAATTAAACATGATGTATACATCCTGCTTAAACAATGAGTTGCATCTCAGCATCTCGATGTGTCGTGTTCTATACGTACTGGACAAGGCTCATTGGTTCCTAAGCCCACCGTGTCACATGTTAGAATCAAACACGTCACATTTTAGGGTCAGGTGAAGAGGAGTACCAGGGTTTCTTAGGGACTCCAAGACATGTAATACTAACCTAGGGTTAGGTGGAGAGGAGTACTTACTGGTATGAAGTCGAAAACTAGGGCAAAGCTCCAAGATTCTCTTCTTTTTTTTGTCCTATTCAACGTCTCTTTGGATATGTCGTTCTCTAGTCATCTCTTCGACGATTTTCTCCACCTCTTCCTCCCAAATCTCCAAAAATGTAGTTGGACTTATGATTTATGGAATATGCTAGGGATAATTTGAAAACCTAGTCCTTAATCTCATTGATTCTTTTTTTAATGACTCATGTATTCTACTCTTGAACCCCATCGATGTTCCTCCTTTTTTCCTTGTGTTACTCAGGTTCTTAGATTCCAGGAGGAGTTTAAGGCTTATTATACATATGAGATATAAGGTAAAAAGGCTTGGATTCCCCTTTTGGGGTTGAAGCTCGTTTTCATGCAAATAGACACACTTTTGACAACTTTGGTCCCGTTGGTTTAGGTTTATCACATAATAGTATTTATCTCTAAGATTATAACATTAATTGTTGGGAATTTGTTCAAGTTTAGGTATCAAAAACTAGTAAAATGACAACGAAAGCTTAAAATTTATTTCACCAAGGATCATTTTACATGATATTTGCAAAGATAAAATAAACAATCGTAGAAAGATTTAAGGATTACAATCTTTGAAGCCTTTGGATTTTTTGACAAAGATGGTTGTTGTAGATGGCAAGAACTCAAACAAGAGCTACTCTAGAAGTATCCACCATAAGCTCCAACACATATTAGGCTATGTTTGGCGTACTAGCTAAAAAACTAGTTGTTAGCTGAAAAGTTAGCTGATAGCTGAAAAGCTAGCTGTTAAATAAAAAATTAGCTGATAAAAAATAACGTTTGGTAAAACTAACTAAAAAGCTAGCTGAAAAATGTGAAATGATGTAAAATTACATTAAAAAGAATGTGTTTTTAATTAATTAAAGGGTATATTTGGGAAATTTTAAAAAACTCCTAAAAAGCTAGTCTAATTAGCTTTTTAAAAAGCTAGTCTAAGTAGTTTTTTAAAAAGCTAGCTTATAAGCTATTTGTTGGTTTGCCAAACATGACAACTTAAAAAAGCTCGAAAAATAAGCTAGTTGTGACGCACCAAACATAGCCTTAGTATCCTAGTTCCAGTCTTGTAGAAACTTCAATCTCTTAAGCTTGAAAACAAAATATGATTTTACCTTTAGAGGAAGGGATGAAATGAGCTTTTTCCTTCTAACACTTAAAGAGAAAAAAAAATAGAGGATGTATGTATATTTTTGGTTTTGGAAAGCATCCAAGTAATGTAACACCCTATTTTCACTTTTAAATATAATAAAGTATAAATGTTTGTTTATAAAATTCAAAGTGAAAATATGTTATTTTTAGCAAAAGTAATCAAAATGAAAGTTATAGCCGACGAAATTATGAACGTGCGGATATATAAAGAACGTCGGAAACCAAGTTCGTATGAAAAAATTACGATCATCTAAAGCTAACAAGAAAATAACATCTTCCAATCACCACTAGACGGACATTTAATGCAAAACTATTGTGTTATGAGTTTTTTTTAGAACCAAATATTTTCAAGGATTTGTAAATTTATAAGTTATCGTTATGGTCTTTTTCAATTATGATGGTGAATCCAATTTCTACCGTCTAGAAATAGACGACTTACACAATTTTTTAATGTTACAGCGAATTCATTATCAACCAATTATAAATTGACAACTTATATAAAAAAAAAACATTGTTACCCATAAAAAAAATTAGAAAAATAAAACTAAAAAGTTAACAAAAAAATCTTCAGTTATGGATGTTTAAGTTTAAACTAAAATAGAAGTTTCTCACATCAAGTCCATGGAAGACAAGGACAAGCGAGTCTTGAATCCTAGTAGCCATTAAGCCATCTCCATCACATCTAACAACCATCCATCACCATATTATAACCGTCTCAAGCTGGCCTATACTCATTTAGTATGAAAGACTGCAGAAATTATTAACATTTAAATCTTACACTACACGCTGCAATCTTTGGATAAAAAATGACACACCCAAATCAAAAGCTGCTTCTATCTCACAAAACAGCTAACTTATACAAATGAAGATGAAAGCAAAACCAGATTAGATTTTTGTTATTAATGGCAATGCCTCCAAATACACTTCTTATACATCATATATTATATAGGCCCTTCCACCTTCTTCCTCTTTAAACAAACACTAAAACAAATCATATATTAAAAAGAAAAAACACATACACACACACACAGACAATCACATTTAACCAAGCAACCAACCAAGAAAAGCGAAAACACCACATAATTGAATTTCCTTCTTGTTTTTATGGCTTGTCCCACTTAAGTTCCTTGACGACCTCCCATGTGAAATCCGGATCTGTCCTACCAAAATGTCCATACGCCGCCGTTTTCAAAAACCTCCCATTTCCACCTCTTTTAAGATCAAGATTAATGGATATCATTCCAGGCCTGAAATCGAAGTTCTCCTTCACAATCTTCAAAATCTCCTTATCAGGAATCTTACCAGTTCCATAAGTGTCAACAAACACCGACAATGGCTCAGGGACACCAATGGCGTATGACACCTGAACAATCGCTCTCCTCGCCAACCCACAAGCCACAATACTCTTTGCCGCCTGTCTCACAATATACGCCCCACTCCTGTCCACCTTCGTTGGGTCTTTCCCGGAGAAAGCACCACCACCGTGAGCACCCCAACCACCGTATGTGTCGATGATGATTTTCCGTCCAGTCAGTCCGGCGTCACCATGAGGACCACCGATCACAAAACGACCAGAAGGGTTGAGATGGAAGATGGTTTTTTCATCAAGGTAGTTTTCAGGGACGACTGGTTTGATGACGTGTTCCTTGAGATCAGCTGCGATTTCATCGTTTGTTACAGTTTCATCGTGTTGGGTGGAGATGAGAATGGTGTGGACACGAAGAGGAACCATGGCTCCGTTGTCATTATGGTATTCCACCGTCACTTGTGTCTTTCCGTCGGGTCTCAGCCATGCACAGGTGCCGTTTTTCCGGACTTCAGTCAATTTGGCGCCAAGTTTGGTGGCGAGGACGTGACTGAGGGGCATCAGTTCAGGGGTTTCATCAGTGGCGTAACCAAACATATGGCCCTGGTCACCGGCGCCGATGTCTTCAGGCTTCTTGGTTAAATGACCATGGACACCTTGGGCGATATCTGGGCTTTGTTGCTCGATGTTCACAAGGACCTTGCAGTTGTCGGCGTCCAAACCCACGTCATCAGAAACAAATCCAATCTCCCGGCAGGTGTCACGGACGATCTTTTCGTAGTCGATGTTAGCTTTAGTGGTGATTTCCCCGAAAACCATCACCATGTTGGTTTTCGTGCAGGTTTCACAGGCGACCTTGCTGTCGGGGTCTTGAGCTAAGCAGGCGTCAAGAACTGCATCGGAAATCTGATCGCAGAGTTTGTCTGGATGTCCCTCGTTGACAGATTCGGATGTGAACAAGAAGGTCTCCATTATTGCAAAGCTGAATATTCGATCAAATTGGTCAGTAAGTAATTAAAACAAAAAAAAAAACACTTAAAAACGAAGCTACAAAACCTTTAATTACGAAATTGTGACATGATTTCAACTCAAAACTTGGAACCCTAAACAGACTGAGTAAATAATAGGTAGATCAATGAAGCATACGACACGGAACAATTCCTAATTCAAAGCATGATGAAGTGATAGATCTGTGCTAATTTGGTGTTAGAACAAGCAGAGTAAACTATGATTCAGCTCCAGATCTGAGTAAATTGCTAGAATAAATCAAATTCAACCTAAGATAAACAGTTTTTCATATCAATTTCAAACCTAATGGAAACTCTAACGAGAAGAATCAACAAAAAGCACACACTTCAACAGCAACTTAGCATGTCATAGAGATGATTAAAAAACCGGGAGAATCAACGTAAGCATATAATCCACGGCTAACGAGTTAAACAAAACCACAAATACATCGCAAACCGACACAGTTTTAACATTTGGCCTTGGATTTTTCAATCACCGACAAACGTAGAAACTTTCCGGCGTTGCGGCGGCCGTGAATCCAGAGAAAGGGAGTAGATTATTAGATTAGATTAGTCCAAATACCTTTGGGAAGAGTAGAAAGGAGAGGATGAATCTGTATGGTTTGATCTTCCTCTTCTTGCTCTTCTGAAAGCAAAGGAGCTAAGGGCGAGGAGTAAAGGCCGTGGAGGTGTTGCTTATATAGGCGGGGATGGAGGTGGGAGTGGTGTAAGATGGAACGTACGTGCCAGATTCATTCTGTGTGTGTGTTGGTGGAATCTTAGATTAGATTATATCTTGGCCCTTGGTTTGCATTTTTCTTTTCATATTTAGGACTTAGGAGTTGGTGAATGAAAATGATATTATTTTCTTTTAATTTCTTTTTGAGAATGCAAGTGATATATGAATACTTGTGTGTTTTTAGTCTGTATACTTAAACCAAATAAAAAACTAATAATCCCATGTTGTATTGGTAATAATGATATTAATTGTATTATTGCTATTTAACTATAAGCAGAAGAGCCTTGTTTCAGTTAACCTTTTATCCTTTTTCTTTTCAGTTAAGCATTACTTATCATTCCATTTCATTTTTTAATTTTCTTTTTTTTCAAATATGATACACTCGTTTAATACTTCATTCATAATTTAATATTTAATACTTAAAATTAAAAAATCATTCATATAATTTATATGAAGCACATAAGTTCTTAAATACAAATAAAATCACACATTAATATACACTATTTAACACATTCGGTGTTTAAACTTTTACACACTTCACTGAGATGAAAATCGAACACCATGTGTCATCTTGTTTTCATAACTTTCTTCTCGAAACTCTACAATCGAAGAACATGTTAGACAAAACGAGGATAATGAAGGGGATAGGTAGAGGTAGTGTAACATATTTGATACGTCAGTGGCTTAGCCACCGGCACCAGTGTCGCTGCTAAGCTCTAGATCTATATACATGAAATGCACCAAACACAACAAATTTGAGAGTGTTATCTTCCCTAGATCTAGATCCACGAGAACCGGTGGTTTTCGCTGGTGGTCAGGAAGCGACGGTGTGGTGTGGCTCCAACAGTAGGAGGGAGCAAAGGGGATGGAAGGAAAGCAGTGGTTTCATTAATGGCGGTGAAGGGGAGGGTGGTCCTGGTGGAAGCAGTGATTGTGGTAGATGCAATAGTAGTGTTAGAGTTTTGATCTCTTGGTGACAGTTTTGAGTGTATGAAGCATCAAATTTGATTTTTTAGATATGCTGTTAGGATCATCAAAATGACATGTGATTCTATGCACCATTTTGTTTTTGGTTATTGATCAGAAAGTAAAAGTGTTAGTTCCCATTTTAAATATTCTCTCTCTCTCTCTCTCTCTCTCTCTCTCTCTCTCTCTCTCTCTCTCTCTCTCTCTCTCTATATATATATATATATATATATATATATATATATATATATATATATATATATATATATATATATTATATATATAATATATATATATATATATATATATATATATATATATATATATAAAGACGTTGGTGATTGATATGAAATTTTATCCTATTTAACTGTCCCATTTTAAGAATTATGTCAAAATAATATGATAAACCGCAAATTGTAAGTATTTTATTTAATGATGAGGTAATATTACATCCGAGACGCACATTTCATATTATCCGTGATAAAACAAAGGGGAAATCCATTTTATATTTTAGTTTGTAATATAACTACTTTTTTCGACGTTTCTAAATAAAGTTAAAGTTTGATAAATATTGTATTCCTTGAAAGTGCAACATGAGTCAATTACTTAAACCACTCGGTATGATATGCATATTTAATGCTTACAGATTTCGCATGCAGCACGACGTCAAGAATATAATATTAATGCAACAAATATCCTCCGTGGGTGCCTTTAATTACAGTGCATATGCAATTATCAACCAAATAAGCTGTTTAAAATATGATGTAATGATTGATTACCGATATAATCTTTTGGTTGGTGAATTAGTCGAATATTTACAAGTAAACGATAAGGATCTAAACTAATATGATTCACCATTTTGACTTTTTCACCGCTTACCAGGTTTGACCAACCCAAAAGGCCAATTACATACCCACCCGTTAAGCCTTTGACTTTGACCATCCAAGATGCTTGCTTTACTCCATATCCACAAGTATTATTTATATACAGTAAAATCTAATGAACAAACATTTTGCTAGTAAAAAAATGCGTCTTTAAATGCAATTCTTTAAACGAAGGTAATATACAAAAATACAGAAACAAAAAAATCTAACAACAAACTTTTAAATAACCATCTTCAGTTCCCACTAAGAAAAGGCGTGAAAACGGAAAAATGGTTATATTGGACAGCACTGACATGTTCCTCGATTCACGGTCCGCCATATACAGGTATTGTGGCGTAATCCGATGTTGCCCGTCCTGTGCCACGTGTCAGTGTCATATGGTTTAAGGGCATATTAGTCATTTTACATGGACTTACTTAGCACCATAGTAGTTAAGGTAAATACAGTATTGAAGGACGAAAAAGGATAAAAATTTATTTTTGCAGGGACCATACCATATCCGTACAATTCTACAAAGTACAGGGACGAAAACTGTAAATTAAAATAAGAGCACATGCATGATGCATGATGCATGAGTGAAGAGTTTACCTGTTGAGATAAGGAAGAAAGTCCGATCTTAGTTCTGGATATTGAAATAACATCTTGTCCCCAGACAGAAAAACCAGATACACCATCACTGTGGCCTCTGAATAGAATCAGAGGTGATGCCAAATTCCTGAAGAAAAAAAAAAATGCGAAATGTTGGTTTGCTTTCATTTTTTTAAGGTAGGTAAAATGATAATTTGCATATAAAAATTAATATTATTATTATATATGTATGGTATGGTTAAGACTTAAGAGAATTGTGAAGATTAGATTACTTTCTGAGGTCCCAAACTCGCAAAGTCTTGTCAAGTGAGCTAGAAACAAGCAAGTGGTCCTCCGGAGAAGCTATCTGCATGAATTGGATTTGGAAGGGAAAATAAGCATTTGTTTACTATAGCATCCTACTTTCATTTTTTCCTATTACAGCGTTGTACTTTGAGAAATCTACCAAGTTCTCCATATTCAGAGCTGCTATAATTTGAATAAACTTTCAAAGTATGATGTCCTAATATGAAAAATAAAATGCTATAAACAATTACGTAGAGTTTTCAAAATACAATACCTTAATGAGAAAAAAAGATTGGAAAGTACAATACCATAAAAAAAAAAAAAAAAAAAAATTTAAAGTAGGATGCTATGATAAACAAATAAATGAAAGTACATTGGCATATCTTGTGAAATTGGCAAGAAAAGTAGATAACCTAAGCAACCAATACCATACCTTTGTGACATATCCATCATGAGCTTGCCATGAGTTGATGAGATTTCCACTCCTAATATCAAGCAACCTGCAGTGACCAGAACTTAATCCAGCTGCAATCCAAGATGCTCCATTAGATTGCATCTTTGAAGAACCACAACAACATATGGAAGAGATTAAAGAAGGAAAACTTGATTCAACAGAATCGCTCCTCCATAAATGAAGCTTTTGACCTTGTTCAACATCAATGAATCTGAATACCACAATAAAAAAAAATGTTTAATTTGCTTGAAATGATATGTTGTCAGAAAGTGATTTAATTATTTACCTGAGAGAAGCGTTTCCAGTGCCTACCACAAGCCTATTTAGTGTTTGTAGGTGATGCATACAAGTATATAAACTCCCATCATAACTAGTGCTTAGAATCCCATTACTAAGGGAGCTGAAATCAAGCATATTAGCTTGCTCAGAATGTATCTTCGATGTAGATGTCAGGGAGGAGGTTCCGGTATTTTCACCAATGACGGATATAACCTTTCCTGATTGGCTATTCCAAATGTGAATTGTGCCATCACAAGAAGCCATTCTTTCTGAGGAACCCAGGGCACAAATGTCATTCACAACCTGACCAATATCAACATATACACTAACATTAACCTTTACCCTAACCCAATATAATAAAACAAGGCTAGATTACAATTTTAGTCCCTATGCTATAATAGCCTATACTAGGTTTTTGTGGTACTATTTTTGGTCCCTGATCGTTTATGTTTAAAGGCCATCATTTACTTTTATAAAAATACACCATATTGCCCTTCTCTCTCCATTTTCTTCATCTCCTTTATCTTCCTTTTCAAGAAACTCTAACCGAATTCAACCAAAACTCCATAAATCAAAACATTGGATATCAAAATTCAAAATCACATAAATTATATCATTTTGTATTGTCATGTTTTGTACTTTACAGTGTTATTTTACATAGGTTTAATAAAATTAACAAATATATATAATGTAGGGTAAAAAGGTCAATTTGCATGTGTATAACGTACTTCTATAAACGGCATCAGCCTCGGACCAGAAAAGGTTGATCAACTAAGTCTAAAAATACCACAGGGACCAAAAATCCTAAAAGATACTTTTTTTGACCACAGGGGGGTGGAAAGGTAATGTGCTCAAAAAAGAATGAAAAGATTTATGACAAAAATTTAATAAATAAGATAAGAATTAGGTATTAAGTAGTAAGAAACCTCTTCATGGGCATGATACCCAGATGAAGAAGCAACTCTTGATAGATCCCACTTGAGGACAGATCCCTTGAACCCTGGACCAACTCCGGCCGTAAAAAACGTAGATTCATCTTGGCAAACAGCAAACGACCGAAGTGCCCCATGGTGGGCACGGATCGAGTGTATCACAGACGCACTGATTTTCCATGGACCTTCATTACTCGAAGCCCCAATTCGACCAAGAAAATCAGGTCCATCCCAACTAGGTGCAGGACTAGGGAACCAAACCCACGGTTCCTGCTCTCTAGACATCGATGATGCTGATGCTGATGTCACCTGCCGCTTATGATGATGTGGCGATGAGTTTTTCGGACCTTTTTCTCCCTGTGACTGGGGAACTGACCATCCGAATCCATGAAGCAACATTTTAGCAGGACTGTATTCAGACATTGGATTCTTCTTGTGATTCCCCCTTCTCCCACCACGACAACTTTCCTCTGTGTTTTCCCACTAAGGCGTGCAACTAATGTGTAAGTAAGCAACATACTGTATTTTTTTTTTTTTTTTAAATAAAAAAATACATCCCACCTTCCAATTATGATTCCACAGAAGAAACTGTTCAAGAATCAACCATGTGGTGCAACACTTACGAAGTGTCTCTATGCCAAGAAGTGAAGCAAAAGGTGGATACAGAAGCAACCTGTCAACATGAAAATGCATCATATTCATATTTATTAGTTAAAGAGGGCAAAAATGGAAAACCTACACAAGATCCATTCTGTTTTGTGTCTGCTCTTCCTCAATTCTAATTTTAGAAACTTTCTGGCTTCCACTGCGAGTTTCCTCGGAGAAGGCGAGTCTTTCAAAGAGTTCTTTAAGTTTTGGCATCACATACATTGATGTTAATTCTGGTCCAATCTGTTGGGAAACTGTAACAAGACTTGTAGCAGCCACCTGCCAAAAATAAAACCCTATTTTTATACTTCTAACTAAAATAATAATAAATAAAAGTAAGAAAGACTACAACACCTGAAGTGCAGGGATTCCCAAATTGGGTATCATGAGAAGCTGAATATAGAGGCAACCTCCATCCTGGTAAGTCATAAATGCAGCCGTCAATTCATATCACTTCTTGAATCAGGAATATATTATTGACAATTTAACAGTGTTTACACACCTCGATTAGCTCTTTGACAACCACCTCATTTGGCAATAATTCCATTATTCCATCTAGTGTCATCAGACAATCCATAAGGGCCAATGCACTCCAACTTTGCATAGGTTCAGGCCTACTCACTTTACAGACATCCATACATGATCGTATAACGTTTTTTAATAATGGAAGAATCTGTTTAACAATGAAAGTCTCCCCAAAAAGACCACCTGAATGTTAAAAAACAGTTAGTTTTATAACATTAAAAAAAAAAAAAAAAAAAAACACAATCATTTGTTTACAAAAAAAGAACCATGGTTAACACTTACCAATTCTAACAATGACATCAATTCCATCACTGCAAAGACCCTTTCCGAAGCAGTGAATCAGGGGCAATATTGTCTGGATAAGGAGTGATGAATTAGTTAACTGATATGGACAGATTGTATAAGTTATAATCAAGAAAATTTGACAAGTTTATTGGTTATTAAACCTGATGAACAGTAACTGGAACACCAAGCTCTTCACTTGAGCCAATCAAAAGCACAGAGGCAGCCCCAGATGAAGTCTTATGAGGAGAAACATATAAATTTGATAAAACCACAGAATGTATGTACTCTAAATACATCTGTTTACCAATCTTGCTCCATAACTCACGTACAAATGAGTCTTGAAGAAGAGAGACCTTCATATGTGAATAACCTGTCGTCTACACAAGAAGCTTTAAGTCAACAAAAACTTAAATTTGTCCAAATCAAGAATCAAAGAATAAGATTTGAAACCAGCCTGCAGAATTTTCTGGATCACAGGCAAGATAAGTGTCTTCACGGATACCAAATTCAGACACCTCAAGAATTCTTTCAGCATTATATGCGCGCATTCTGCTTCTGTGTCAGTTAAAGGTGTGAGTAAAAGAGGTAGGCAGTGGGGCGCACACATTTCAGCTGCAAAACTTCCCATTGATTTCAAAGCTCCAGATTTTGCATAACTTGCAAGATAATGGAGTCGAGAACCAGCTTTTGCTAAAAGTTGAAGTGGGGCAAGAAACAGGTATGATGACCTCACTGTTGATGAGAAGTAGGGAGATTCCAAAAGAGACTTAATAGAAGGCCTCCTGATTATTATTATAAAAAGAAAGTCATGTTCCTAATTATTACCTGAAAAAGTTATAGAAAAAAGGATAGTAATTCAAAAAGGGTACCTCTTCCAGTCCTTCTGAATGCATGCTTCAACAATAATGTTCACTTGAGGGGGCAGTTCATGCATCAATTTAGGCAGAACACCACTAAGTAAGTACTGTGCTAATGAAGTTGGATTAAAAAGTGGCTTTCTCAAATGTAGTTCTGCTAAAATACAACCAGTTGAGAATACATCATTTGCAATATCTACAGAAAGATTTGCTGAAGAAGATAGTTTTTGTCTCCACAGAAGGAAATCTTGGTACCCTGAAGTACTATCATCTGTCTCAATCGTCTGAAGAAGGAAATTTATATCAATAACTGATGCCAATTTCGAGTCTCTCCCATTTTTAAATGTGTCAGATCCGACTTCTTCTAAATTGTCCTTTACAAGATCATTTCTGTAGATAGGACTTATATGGGAAGCATGTTCAATGAATGTAGCTGCTTCCTCTAATGCTTGCAAGTTAAATGTATCATGAAGCAGATTCTTCTCACTGTTATGTTGACTAGTCTTCTTTATAACACACCAACGAGGTGGATGGGGTATACTGAAGAGCTGGCGCCGACCTGCTGACCTGGCATTTGTAGGTTCTGAAGGGGGCAACATGACATTTTTTGCAGAAATGGCTGCTTCCCCTGACATTTTGTGGCCAAAGATAATATCTATCCAATGATGAATCTGAGTTGATACACGATCACTTTCCAAAGCCTCCCGATGCAATTTAATAAACTCCTCGGGCCCACCAGCCCATGAAGGTACTGCCAGATCAGACATTCCAGAATGTATAGAACGGAAAATCTGTGGATCTTGATAAAATTCAGGAATGCATTCATCAGGGGTCCATTGATAAAGCCTGTGCATTGTAGAGGGGTATTCATTTGGTTCATAGACCGAACGGACAGCTGTACGCAAAACACTTAAAGGCAACCTTCTTGCTTTGTAACTACAAACAGCAAGTTCTGAGAGGCATTCATCTGACACATGATGTGGGATTTCTGATGTTAAGTATGTAAAGTCCAACTGTTCATCACCTTTTGCCAAACGCCATTTACTTTTACTTAAATTTCTCCAACCCATGTCGTTATTTTCATCAGGTTTTACACTAAAGTCAATAACCCATGGCATAACAGTGTGGAAAGTATGATCACCCCATCTCCTACCAGCTATTCTGTTTAACAACAGGAGATACTCAAAGTTACTCATTTCTCCACTCCACCAACGAATAAAACCAGTATGCCAATCGGTTAGCTTCAAATCAGCATAGACTTTACTTGACTCACAGGTGTCACTGCAACAACCAATCTTACTTCTGGATATGTTGGAGTTTGATTGTAGGGTATCACCAATATGAAGCCAACACCATAACGAATCAGTTAGCAATACGTTTGATGGAGATATGCTGCCATGGGCAATCCCTAATCCGTGCATGTATCTCAAGGGAGAGAGTAGTTGATACATCAAGAACTTGATATGCCAGTTTGACTTTAAGGCGTCAGGGCTGTAGTGAAGAATGTTTTCCAAGGTGTAAGGAGTTTTTGGTAGTATTAAACTGATATGGGTGGATGATTTCATTATGCTCAAGATTGGTACTATGTTTGGGTGTCTTATGCATCCAGGAAAAGTGGTTTCTGTAAATGAGGGTATCCCAATTAAATCAAGAAAGTTAATGCTATCTCTTCCTGTTGGTTTTCCTTGTATCAGAAGAGTAAGTGAGTGAAGTAAATGATCTTCTGTAATCCCAGATGAGAAATTTGAAGCTAGATTCTCTAAAGCAGGAAATGATATGGGACCAATTTGAGAGATTGGAACCAAGGCTGTAAGTGTCCTCAAGCAAGAAAAACTTGTTGAGAAGTAGCAGGTTGAACTGTTGCACTCTAATCCAGGTAAGGATGTTTTTCCCCCACTATCTGCCAAAAACAGAGCTTCATTTGGTTTATCATGAAGATCCCCAGTGGTAACCTCGTGTTGATCTTGAGGTAGAATTGATGAAGGCGTGTTATCCTTTGCTTTATAGTCATTTCCAGTTGGTTTTTCTGGACAATGCTCGTTACTGTAGAAACAAATGGAGATCCAGTTGTATTATAATTAAATAAACTCTATAAGATGGAAATTAGTTATTAGTTATCTGGTGGTACAATATTCTTGAGAGCTATAGAAATTTGAAACTTCCAAAGATGAATACTCACTCATGTAACAATACAAACTAGATGCAAATCAATAGGGCAACTTTATATGATGTGTTATTGTGATCTATTGGTAGAGATTTAGGAAGTTTACTTTCATTCGGGAAATCGAATTAGTAAACTGTAATGTACAACTGGATCATGTAATGTACTAACCAACAGTTTAACTTAGTGGGAGAATTCGCCACAAAAATGGATCATGTAATAGCAAAATGAACATGTCAATTCTAGTAAAAGAAACAAAAAAATAAAAGCTAATTCCTAATATTAAAATCCCCAAATTATAGAAATGGCGCAGATGATCATACATGTAATTGGTGAAGCAATCATCTTGATTAATCGGCAAATACATCAATATGAAGTGAGGTGAAACCTCCCCATCAGAATTTAGAACCTGCATCAAGACCCTCAAATTTTAGCAATCATACATGACACATAACATAGTTGGCTGACTGTATAATATATATATATTAACATAGACAGACACAGCGAAGGAAATGATATCACCTGAACAACGGCGTCGGAGCCGAATGGAAGGGCGGAAGCAGCAATGGCATAATTGAGAAGGAGTTTGTCAGAGAAATCGATTCGAAGTTGACGTTGAAGACAGTCGAAGCACATTTGAAGTTCCATTTACTCGATTAATTTCATGGGAGGGGCATGTTAACACTGCTGATTTCAATGGATCGTTTGTTTATTTAATTTTGGCTGTAACACCAAATTAATCGATTTTGCTACTTCAGAAATCGTGAAACTTGTACAACCAAAAATACACACAATTACCGATTACTTTTTCTTTTTCCTTAAACATATTGTATAACAATATATTGACAAAAATAATAAAAACAAGATATTTAAAATTAAAAATTAAAAAAAAAATAAAAAATAAAAAAAATAATAATAAAAAGGGTCATATATGCTATTTTTTATAGTGTTGATTATTGAACCTATTTTTTTATAGTATTGAACTTTTTTTTTTTTTTTACTATTGGTGGAGCTTTATAAGGGTAAGGGGCTGAGCTGTAGACCCTCTGAGTTTTTAGTTATAAATAGTTCTCATATTTTCATTTTATACATTTTTTGCCCAAAAATATAAAACTTTGACTGTGACCCCTCCGCTTAACAACTAACAAATAAAATATTGTTGTTAAATTTGAAATATATGGAACGGGTAACAAGAGATAAATAAAATCAAAAAACAAAAACTATGAATATTTAATACTAGGGGTAAAGCAAAATGAATTAAACAAAAAAGATGGATTTTTGAAGCTTTTATAATCTTATAGGGGTTAATTAAACAAGAACATATATTTGAATAAAATAGGATAAGTTAAAATAAATATCAAATGTTTGAAAATATTTAGAAACATGGGGTGGAAGTTGTATAAATTAAATTATAATTTTAGAATTTTATATGATGAAAACATTATAGACTACTCTTTGGAGAAGAAAAAAAAACATTATAGATTAAACTAAGAAATTGAAACTTAAGATATTAGAATCTAAGGGTAAAACAAGATAAAATAAACTTAAATAATGAAAAAATTAGTGGAGGAGGTCAATATATATAATTATTCTTATTTTAATATAAACTACTTTATATATATATATATATATATATATATATATATATATATATATATATATATATATATATATATATAAAGTAGTTTATATTAAAATAATAATAATAAATTGTTATGTTGCTTTTTGTTAACATTTATAATATGATATGAATGTCTTATGTTTACATCAAATATTTAATTAAAATTTATTGGTAGGTCTTTGTTCTAATGGTATGGTTAGATTCTTCATTCTATTAGGATAAAGTATCAATGAACAAATGGTATGGTTAGATTTTTCATTCTATTAGGTTAAAGTATCAAATCATGTCTATATAAAAGTAATTTATGAGCATATTAGAATGTGTGTGGATTATCGTTCTAAAAATATAATTAAAATATAATTCACTTTAATATTCTTTTGTGCTTGTGGGTCGTATTTTGAAACATTTTAATTGAACTTACTTTACGTTAATATTTCTTTTTTAATATATAATTTGTTTGATTCTATATTAGAAAATAAAACCGTTAGTTATTAAAATCACATTTATTTTTCAACAAAATTTACATAAATGAAAACAAAAAAAAGAGTTGTAATTACAAATTATAAGTTCCTCAATGTTTTATTTAATTAAATTAACACCATCAAATAAACAATCATATACCAAAAAGTAAATATGCAAAAAAAACTAGTTTCAGTCTTATCATAAACTGTTCCTCTTTTTTTGTACAAAAACAAAACAAATCTTTTTAGGAGCAGACGACGGTCTATGTCCAGTGCTTTTCAATTTTTATAGTTTTTTCTCGACCAATTGATTAGTTTCAATTCAATATTTTTTATTGTTACAAATTTTTAGGTCAAAAAGGTTGATAACCGATTAGTTTTAATAAATTGTATAAAATATAATATACTTAGTAGTTCGTAATATAATAGATTTAAAAAGAATCCAACCAAAAATAACTTTTTATATAATTAACAATTACAAGCTACAAACAAAAAATAAAAATGTGATCATATATTTTTAATATTTAATTCTCCAATCTTAAAAATATGTAAAATATTAATTGTCTTTTATATATTCTTTATATATATATATATATATATATATATATATATATATATATATATATATATATATATATATATATATATATATATATATATATAGGGAAAAGTGAATATACCCTTAAGGGTATATAAGCTTAGGTACCCAAACTCACCATACTACATCATTTTGTATCATATATAGACATTGTAATTGTCCAATGTTCTTATAATTCAACTTCTAAATTGAATTACTTCAAAGATTTTTATAAATTTCATATTTATCTTCCTATTACATAATTATCATTTTCAACAATAATATATATAACCTAGTAATTGTTCGATAAAAAGATGTGATGTAAAAAGCAGATAGTAGTGAAAACTTAAAAATATTGAATATAAATCAAGTTAAGAATTGAAGTTTAACAATATTATAATGAATATATTAAACAAAACTCCTTATTATTATGAGTTTGGGTACTTAAGCTTATATACCCTTAAGGGTATATTCATTTTTCCCATATATATATATATATATATATATATATATATATATATATATATATATATATATATATATATATATATATATATATATATATAATTGTTGGAAATAATTTGTTGCCTTTTTTCTATAATATAAAAGTAAATTGGTGTATATTTTATTTATAAAACTTGAAAGGTCTAGTTATGTATTAAATTACGGTTTGAAAAGTTATGATTAGAATTTTGGTATATAATTATTTTTAATATTTATAGATTAGTTTAGTTGTGAAACAAGATATGAGTCGATCATGTAATTTTTTTTCTTTATTTCTTTCTCGTCGTTTGAATCTCACATAAGAGTGTAAGTAAACCAAGCTACTCGTGAGTTATTTGGAATCAACTCGTTAAAAACTTGACTCGAACTCGAGTTAAACGATCCTGAACCGAACTTGAGCTTTACTTGGGGCTCATTTATTAAACGAGCTCAAGCCCGAGTTTTTCTTACCGAGCTCGACTAGACTCGCGATCTTAAATGAGCCTATATGTATTATAATATAAATATATTTTTTCACTTTATATATTATATTATTAATAACTAGTTTTATTAATTCCTTTGAAATCAAAGCAATGAGCCTTCATTATTGATTCTCTTGTTTCCATTTCAATTTCTAACTTTCCGCATACTTCACACGACATACCATCTAGGGCTTTGAGTATTCAATGATTGATTTCATTTCAATGATTGATTTCATTCCGTCTTCGACATTGAATTTTGTAGACATTAAAAACCATAAATAATCAAACGGGCTCAAAAACCATAAATGAGCTCGAGCCGAGCCTAAGCTCTCTAAGCTCGCCTGACAAATGAGTCGAGCGAAGCTAAGCTCGAGCATGTTATTTTTACAACAAGCCGAGTTCGAACTTTGAAACTATGCTTGAAAAGAGCCAAGCTCAAGGTCGAGCCTAGATGAATTCAAATGAGTTGGAGTCGAGCTTGGGTATGTTGAGGCTCGGCTTGGCTCATTTACACCATTCTCACATTTCTATCCTGGACTAGAGTACCGGTCTAGGACTGAAGTTTGTCTTTTTTAGGACCATCTTTGGGCTAGTTGAGCACAAGTTTCAGTTTTGAACTATTTTCTCCATCTCTACCCAATCAGAAGTCAAAAAAGCTTAAATTAAAATTAGAGAAAATCCGGTCATGACAAATCATAATTTTATGACCGTTGATAGACCAACAAAAAAAAAACCATATCTCATGGTGTTTCATGAGTGATTTGTTAAAATACATTGATTGAAACGCAAACCTTGTTACATACATACATGCTGCTTAATAAAAAAAAAAAGCATTGATTCGAAATCACTGTACAATTACATACCAATCATATACATTCATTCATTAGTCCTTTTTAAGTGTAGCAAGAATAAAGTCTGTAACCCAGAATTATGGAGCTCGCTTACTACATAAATAGATATTGACACATTCTCCCTCTGATAACCAATAATAAAAAACACTCCCGAATCAACAAACCAATCTTAACAACAACCTCAGTCACAGGTCACAACCCGTGCCTTTTTTCGGTGCCATTTCGATATTGATATTGATATTGAGCAAGTTCATTGTTGACACGTAGAAGCAGCCTCTCTGAGTCAGCCACCCTCTTACCAAAACCAAACTCACTGCTGCTGCTGCTGCTTGCTGTTGGTTTTGGTTTTGGTTTTGGCATGGGAATGGGAATGGAATTCTCATGCTGCCCTCCTCCTCCGAAAAGCTTCTTGATCATGTCATCTAACTCTGCAGCCCGTTTCTGTAGATTGGTTTTATCAGCCTGCAATGCATTATGAATTATGCTTATGCATCATCAAAAATTCAAGTGCTTCTGCTTACAGAAAAAGAGAGAAAGAGAATGAATGTACAGTACAGTACCTTGAGCATTTCGTTTTGTGCTGTCAGCAACTGGTCCCGCCCTTGCAACTGTACCACACTCATTTTACCAGCAAGTATGTCTGCTTCTTTCCTATCTATCTCCGAAATGCATCTGTAAAAATAAATAACTTTATCCCCTTACACTTTTTTTTTTTTTGCTTTTATAGAATGAAAACTATGTTTAAAAATGGAACAAACTTTCCTTCATTTCTTTATTACAATTTACATTGCACCATCCTACTTCTTCTTACAACTTTGTATTTGTATTTTAAAAAACCTATCCAGCTATAGGCTATAGCATTGTCACCCAAATAAACCAACTTCTTTTTTCCACCATAATTGGATAAATTTTTCAAACTATAATGTCCATGTCCTAATAACAAAAAATTGAAATTATAATAATTGGCTACATTTTCAAAGTAGAATTAATGTCACAATAAGGACAAAAAAAAGGTTTCAAGTAGAACGTTGTAATAAAAAAATAAATGAAACTACCTTTTACTACAAAAACAAAAACACGCACCTGTCTCTTTCTTCATGTAAATCATTAATTTGTCGCTTGAGTTTCCGAATCTCTTGCTCCTGATTCAGTTATTAAGCATTATATTATATTATACTATTAAATTCAATTTCCATCACTCAAACTCACAAACTAATTGACACTCACCATGGCTATGAACTCCTGTGTTTGCTGAGCAGCATTCTCAATCAGTTTTTGAAGCTGCTTTTGGTTTATCAAGTTCTACATCATTCACACCAACACACACACACACATTACTTAAAACTCAAAACTCAAAATTAAAAATCAACAAACTCAAAACTTACTGCATATTTAGTCATGTCTAATTTCACCCCAAGCAGATCCCTGATCACATCATGTGTCATACTCTCTGCTGTTGCCAGTTTAGTGTTTAGCATACATATCTGTTAACATAACATAGCTTACATCATCATTCATAGATGCAACAGTGTAAGAGAATCTATATGAATTATTAAAATGATCACCTCTTTTTGTCGACTTGATGCTACTGATTCTAGCTCATGTAGACGAGCCTTGGCCAATGACAACTCCTGATCCTTCTCTGTGTTCATCTGTTGGACTAAATTCCCAATGCATCTGAATGGTGAACTACCCCTTCCTCCTCTCACCATGCTTTTTTCACTCTTCTCCAATAACTGTGCTTCTAAGCTAGACTTTGATGGACCTGTCTTCATTAAACTAACCATTGCTTCCAACGACTTGTACTGTTCAAACAAATTGCATAATGAAAACATTTACTTTGTATCGTATTGTTATGCTTGGTATTAATGCATAACATTCAGGAACAACATAAGAAAGTCAGATGCTTTTCTACCTTCTGCTGATACTGTAAAGCTTGAGCTTCTGCATGGATTACAAGTTCAGATATATACTCTTTACATTGCTTAATCTGCAAAACAATTCCCAAAAATGTGATAAGAAATGAATCATATAAGTGATGGTTTTCCATTTTTTAGGGTCCAAATGTTCCACCTCATTAGCTTGTTCTGCTCTTTCATCTTCAAGATCTTTTATCCGTGCTTGAAGTTTCCTGTGACCCCACCAAACATACCATTATCCAATTAAATCCAACAGAAAAAGAAAAGGATCCTTGAGATTTTACAAGAGGCCACAAATCCAGACCTTGAAATTTGATACTCATATTGGTCAAGGTTACTGTTATCAGAATCCATGCAGTCTCTAAAGCTTTCAACAGTTAACAGTCTTTGACTTAATGATTGGAGTTCCACTTCCAGTGAATCTCTTATCTTGTGTTGTCTTTGTAGCTCCTCTTCCATGTCATTCACCTAAAGGAATGTTAAAAGTATAAGAAAGAAAACCCAACAGCTTCTTGAATTTTCTTCATGTCAAAATCACAGAAACTAACCCGTTTCTCCAATACGTTTATGGTACTGTCAAGTTCTTCAACAGAATTTTCTAGAATCTTAATCTCCTCATCCTTTTGTTCAGCATATATTTTGTTTGCCTCTGACACCTGGAAAATGGTAAAGAATAAATAAATTATAAACAAACACTGATATAATATGTGTCACAAAAACTGGTTACCTGGCGTGCTTCTACAGCAATAGCTTCGTTTTCATCAGCTATGGAGTACGCCATTTCAAGCTTTTCTTGTAAAGAATTAACTTGTTCACATAGCTGATCTCTCTCACTGGAAACCCTCTTCAGATCATCTGTAATCCCTTCTAAAGAAAATAAGAACTGTTCTTGTACCGAAGAAGCTCCACAATCAATTTCCTTTTCTAAAGATTTAACAATCTCCTTTTGTTCTTCGAGTTTCTCTTCGGTTTCTGACTTTTTATGATATAAATCCTCTAAAAGACTTCTCAATTCACCATTTTGGTATGACAGTGCATTCACAGTTTCTTCAGCATGTTGTAGACAAGATTTTGAGGCCGAAAGAGCAGATTCGGTATCAGATAAACAAGATTCGAGTTTTTCATATCGAATCAGCATATCATCAAGCTGAGTCGTTTTCATCTTTAGCTCATGTTGTACTTGTCTTAAATCTGCGAATAACTTTTCAGCTTCATCTTTCATGTCTTTTCTTGTAGAAGCTGATTCTTGTAACAAGCTTAAATCGAAAAGTAAACCATTTAACAAAGTGTTTTTCCGTTCCAATTCTTTATTTAGCTTTAAGTTTTCACCAATAAGATCACGTTCACCCAAATCCTCTGATTCCTTGCTAGCAGCCAGTGCACTATAATTAACCTCTTCTTCACTATCATTAATCGTTGAAGGGTTTTGTCTGAATCGAAGGGTTTCAACATGTTTTATAAGCTCTTCATGAAGTCTGGATCCCAGTTTGGATTTCTTGTTATATTCTCCAATCTGGCATTGTTGTACCACAAAAGAGGCAAAAGAATTTTCCATTCTTTCGGCATAGATATCTTGCAATGATGATCTTGATTCACTGATGTCATGGCGGACACCATGGAACATTGCCAATGCATCTGAATACATTAAGTGGCATGAATTCTCAGCCTCCTTTTTCAGGTGATGGAAAGAACCTTCTAGAACAGACACCGAATTTGCAAGTTCTTCAACTAAGCTTGCCTTATCCACCATTACATCTTCTGCAGCTTGTTTCCATCTACCAGCTAACACTTTTGCTTCTTCATTTGCTTTCATCAACACATTCAACATATTATCAGCTTCATTCATGGTTGCACGCGCCTCCTCAAACTTGCTGAAAAAGCTATCCGCTTTAGGTGTCTTTTTCTCATCGATCTTCATACAGTTGTGTACATATTCTTTGTCCTTGAAGACTGAAGCCAATTGAACATCTAATTTGATGAACGCTTCATAAGCCATCGTGAATTGCTTCTTCAAAAACAAATGTGTCTTTTTATCTTGCTTCTCTGATTCTTGATTGCTTGAATATTCTATGTTCTCTTGCAGATCTTCGTCATCAGAAAGATTAGAGCTAGAAGTAGAAATATCAGTCGAAAAATCATCCAAGTCTTCAAAATAAGCCTTCATGTTATCAAGTTTGTAATTTATTGAAACAAGTTCAGTTATTATACGCTGCACCATTAACAACTGGTTTTCTTGCATTTGATGCGTACATCCCCTTCCCTCCACCATTTTATTAGTTTCTTTGAGCTCTAATAAGTTTTTCCTCATCTCACAAATCCCTTCCATGAAGTCTTCAACCTGATTTTCAATTTTGGTCCTTTCATCATGTTGTGTTGACTGAATTTCGGTCAAAGCAATTGTTGCAGTCCTTAACGAATTCAGTTTCTCCTGCATTTCTAGTATTGTAGTTTGAGCATCCACCAGGTTCTTTTCCAGTCTTAGAATTGTTTCTTGTTTCTCAATACAAACAATTGCAGCCTTCTTAACATGTTCAGTAACCGAAACATTATAGTGTGGAAATGAACAGGCAATAGCTTCTATTTGACCAGATGCATCTTTGAGAGATTTAGAACCATCTAACAGAAAGCTTGTGAGCTCTAAACTTGCCCTCTCCCACTCAGTATGCAACGTATACACCTCATCCTCTTTTGCTTCTATAATTCTTCTTAGCTTCTTGTTTTCTTCAGACATGCTACACAATCTTCCGTGATATTTCACCTGAAGAGATGCTAATTCTTCTTGTAGATTAAGAATCGCGTTAGTTGCTTCGTTCTCAACTTCCTCATCAACTAAACGAACTTCGTTCTTGAGAGATGAATGTGATGAGCGATCCTCAAGATCATCTTCAAGGTCTTTAGCCATCTTGTCCAATCTGGCTTGTAAATCCATCATGCTGTTGTCAGTGACAGGTGGCAGGTTTTGGTTTTGGTTTTCTGAAGTATGGGTCTCATGTGTTTGTGCATTGTTGGTGTTGTTTAAGGTTTCCACCAACCTATCATTCTCTTGGCGAATATATTGTAGCTCTTCAACCAATCTGGCCTGCTCAGATTTCATGGCACCTAACAAGGCTTTTGCTTCCATTAGCTCTTCTATATTGTCACTCGATTGCAACATGTTGTCCCTTTTGAGACAATTACTACCAGGTACTACTCCTTTCACTAACTCGTCACAACCTTCCATCCCATCTCCTAAACCAATGCTACTCAACAAGCTTCCAACCTGCAAAATCAATAAATTAAAATTATTGAAGCTAAAGATGCTTTGAATTGATATAACAAGGATTTTGAGCTAAATTTGGCATATCAAGAATTCTTTGGAGTTTAGATCTTTTAGCTTCTTGAAGAGAAATAGAATCCATAAATATCCAATTTAAATTAAAGTTGAATATATCGTGCTTACAGGATATGCTGCTGTTTGGTTATAGCTTATGTATTTGCTCAGTTCTGTTTTCAGTTCATCAACCTTCCTGCAAATTACGGAATTAAATTTGAAGATTAGCCACAAGCCTCAAGATCATATACAATCTTAGGCCCAGAAAAAAGAAAGATAATCAACATAAACTAGGAAACTATATCAATCAGTATCACCCTGAGATTCAAGCTATATCACCATAATTAACAGCCTAAAATTATGTAACCAAGTACATACGCTATATCTAACAAAGACCAAGATCCATATATTTATTATATATGCTTCAGTGAGTTTAGTCAATAATTTAACGCACAGAGCAAAAGACAAAGTAAGATGCACAACTTTATGAAAAAGTTCAATAGGTAAGAAGCAAAGAAAGTCAAAGCAAGTGAAAACTGTTCAGGTGTGTTCATTGATTGGCAACTCAAGAAATGTATAAGGTAAGCAACATAAACTACATAGCAGAGATGCTAAAGAAGACTATAAGTTGAAACGCACCTAATCAATTTGGAATTGGCACACTTGTACTCCTCTAACTCCATTGATGATTTGTCATCCTGCATTAACTCAACCTTAGCGTTTAGTTTTCAGTGAATATCCCAAAACTAACGTTAACCATGAGAGGATGCACCACAAACCTCGTTTTGTCTTTCAGTTGGAAAATTTTGCTCTACATAACTTTCTTCAACCTCCAGTGTTTTCAGAAGCTTTGCATAACAAGAAAAAAAAAATGTTTCAGGGTTCTTTCTCAACTGTATATGATTTTGTATTTCTATTTTTTTTAAAATCAGTGTACCTGATCATGCAATGCTAAAACTTCAGCTAACAAAGCTCCACGCTCACCGTGTTCATAGCAATCCTGGAACCTGATGACAATAGGAAAAGATGTTGAGGATGTAAAAAAAATCAAATTTTTGAGGCATAAAGGTGATGCAAACCTTGTTACTTGAGAATTTTTATCAATCCTAGCTTGTAGCTGATGAATTTCTTCCATTAAAGCCATATTTTCATCCATGAGATAATGGTCAGTAGAAATGATGCCATTTGCAAGCAATTCCAAGCGTTTAATTTTTTCCTCCCGAAATCTTAGCAACATTTTGGTACACTGAACATCTTTTTCTTTTGGAAGAGCCTGCAGTATGAATATGATGAGACCATAAAATATATTCATCTCCTGTGTTATAAAAACATGACATCAAGCAAAATAATGACACAAATATCAATTACAATAGATAGAATTAGATGGTAAACTAGAATGAAAGAATCATAACGTACAAGTCCATTTATGGGTTTGGTTTGAGAGTGTAAGGTCCTAAAAGCTGGAAAGTTGTCACAGACATCTTCGCCACAACCACAAGCCTCTTCTTGTCTTTCAAAAGACTCATCACCTAAGCTGGGCTGGAAAGTCGTTCCAACATGAAATACAGGTTTTAAGATTCTTTGATGTTTCACTAATAAGGACATCTGCTCCTGCAATTTCACCAATATAACTTGACTCAAAAAATCCCAACACATTTGGCTCAGCTTTTCAGCATACCTTTAACATTTGAATTTGTCGTTGCAGTGCTGTCACATCGCCTGATGCATCTTCATTTACTTTTGCCTAAATAAATACAACAAGTTCATGCATTTGGGATTTCAGATTTGTATTGGAAGAGAGATAAGACTTGAATGTTCGTACATTGTTCTGAATAAGCTTGGCACGCTGAGCAAACTTTAGAGTGCTTAATGTCTCATTCGCAGCACTGCATACAAATATGTTATAATCACACATACAAATAATGCCCTAACATTCACATAGATATAGCCATATTTATAGGAAACAAATACTGACCACATTGAGGGGCTGACATTTGCTATGATTGTTGTTTTTGAGTTCCCACCAAGAGAATCCTGCATTTAGATAGAAAAAAAAAAAAAGTGGTGGTGTAAATGAGCATGTGAGGAAATCATATTATGGAAAGACAATGTGTATTCATGCTTTAAGCTGCTGACCTGGAGGAGGAATGTAAGTCTTGAATCCCTGTAAGGTACATGTCTATGTTTCCCATGTGCAACATCAACCAGGGACATTATTACCAGACTACAATCACAAAAACCTGTGTTTAAAATCTTGTCCCAAACTCAAGAGCATGCATTGTAATTGTATGCCTCCATGTATACATATATACAATATTAGTTCTAAACAAAGAAAGTAAATCAATCATTATCCCTCTGAATGGCAACCTATTTACAACCTATATTACCATAACCAACAGCCGATAATTATGTAAGAAGATACATACACTTTATCTAACTGTCAGTAGCTCATAGTTCAGTAGTGTTTTTCATAATTAATTAATATATACATACAATTGAAGTGTTGACCACCTACCCGAGAGTTGATAGTGATTTGTTTATATAAGATGCCTCCTTCACACGTTCTCCTGCTGCAGAGCTTCTCTGCCTAAATGACAGGTAGTTTCAGTTAAGGAATGTCATAGTTATGAAATATATATATATATATATATAAAAGATGGTTTAAGCTACCAAATTACCTTTCAGAACCAGCCAGGTCTACCAAATTCAACCTTCCAAACCGAAGGTGAGTCACGGAATCCTTTTCCCACCGACTTTCCACAATGCAGGTGAAGACACTATGTGACCGGCTGCTCTCACTGTTCATATCTGTTCCTGCCACTTTCCTGTTTGCAGCACCCTGATACACCATGCAAACTAATTTTAAATCCGATATAATCATAAATAAGCAGTAACAAAGTCTAAAGTTTCACTATATTGACACACCTGCAGTAAAAGCTTGAGGACTTCATCAACGTTTTTAACATTATACTCTGTAAGATTTTCAACATATACTCCTTCCTTTAAATCCTCTCTCACCTATAAAATAAAGAGATCATCATGTTGGGCAAGAAAAACTGACATTTATGCACAGAATGAAGAGATGAATGATACTCACTTGGAGATTAGTGGATGAAGGCTCCAGGAGATCAGTGATTTGCTCATTGTATATCTCCAAAAAGGAACATTTGCAGCTATATTTTAGTCTTTCATCCCTCCTGTTCTCCTCCTCCTACAAATAATTGCCCGATACAGTTTAGGCATCAAAGGGAATGAGGGTGTGTTATAGAATCTAGTCATACATGGTACAATGTTTTATAATACATATCTTACCAATTTAATCCTTGTGAATAAATATTCAAAAAGACGTGGAGTTATCCCACAGTCGTCAACAAGCTTGCCATCCTCTTGACTTATCTCACCCATCATCGTATATGTTTTGCCACTACCAGTCTGAGTTCATGATTCATGAAATTGGGAGATTAAGAAATCAAAACCAACCACATAATACATCAAAACAATATAACAGCATTAGTTTTTCCAAGCCATACCTGACCATAAGCAAACATACAACTATTATAACCAGACATGCAATTATCAACCATGGGCAATCCAGCAACCCTGAAAAGCTTTTCCTGAAAATAACTCAAACATGCGGTTAGTTTTCGTTATTAATGTAATAAGTCAAAAGTGGAAGCAGATTATGAGATTATAGTACCTGTGATATCGTCTCACTCACTATGTGATCGAATGTGAATCTGACTTCAGGTTGGCCAAGCCACGCTAAGGTCTGCAAACTCTCTTGCTTCAAGCACCGAACATACCCTTGTCCCATCTTCTCCATATTGCTCAATGGTCTCATCCTGATTAATACCTGCACATTAAAAAAAATCTCACCCCATCAAGACATGGATATACATTTAATAAAGTTTCATCCATGGAAGGTATAAAAAGTAATAATGCAACTGACCTGAACATTGTGATCGTTCCAAAAGGAAGGATCCTCGACAAGCTCAAAATGTGGAACCTCAGTAGGTGGCGGCTCGCAATTCACGTTTGAAATCCTTCTCGAAACCCTAGAGCTGTTCGCTCCTCTTTCCCCTGTACTTTGAAGAGCCCTTGGCCCTGTACAAGCCCCCAATTGACCGACATAAGTGGTCCTCGAAACACTCCTAGCTGGTGTACTATGCGCCGAATCAAATTTCCTTCGGTTAGAAGTAGAACCAGCTTCTAGAGATTTGTCCTTAAATCCATTATGAATCATAACCTCTTGAAGAAATTCCTTGGAGAATTGTGACGGATCTGGTATCGCATTCAATGGAGTTCTTGAAAAGGGGATATCTAATGGATTCGAGTTCGACAGTGTCTTATCGAACTGATTCTCATTTCCCTCAGCTTGACTGCTCTTCAAACTGTCTTTCACCATTTTCAAATTAAAATGAAATAATCTATCTTCTTGAAAACTAATGATCTTGAAGGATTCAATAATGATGAATCATAGTGGCGAGCATGAAAGCAATACAGGAAACACAGAAAGGTATCATCATCAGCTAAAAAGCTGAAAGCGGGACGATGATAAGAAAGAGAGAGAAGCGCCTGTTTTCAAATTAAACAGTGATCGATCGGCTGGGTTTAAATTGTTTACTTTTAACCCTTAAAAACTCTCTTAATTGTAAAATGGACCCCATCTATTTTAAACGTTGGATTATATAATGCGGCATTGGATTTTCAAATTTCTTATCATGAGTGCTTATGCTTTTAAATATGTTTATTTTAGATTGAGTAAATTATAAGCTTTGTATTTTGAATTATATGTTTACTTTACAAAATTGTTATTTTATAATTATCGTTTAAGTTAACTTTATTTTATATTTATCAAGCACTTATACTTAATAATATTAGTAACGTTTGTTAAAAATAACGTATAAATGGATGCCATAATATCTAGTTATATTTCTTTTTTCATCTTCAATTGAAAAAAGTCAAACGAAAACTTAAATTCTTGAACACATCTTCAACACAAACTAAAAGAAAAAACAAATAAATGTACAAAAACCCAAACACTAAAGGCCATTGTATGTAGCATAATAATTAACTTTAGTCCATTTTACAAATTTGATTGGATAATCTTTTGTTCATAGATACGTTGTAATTCCATGATTGGAAACTTGATAATTGCTTCTTTAATTTTGGTTTTGAAATGAGTTGACTTGTTATGCTAATAATTTTGTGATAAATGTGTAACGACTCAATTTTTCAAAAGAAATTTTTCATTTTTAATTAGTCAAAAACATTTTCAATATACCATAAAATCTTAAGTACATTTGTTTTCAAAGTCATAACATCAACAATATTATTCTAAACATCAGAGTGCCCTATAAAAACGTTTGAGATAGAATGCATGTCGCACCATCAAGTCTTGCCTTTGCCCTTAGGCTCAAAAATACATGAAACAAATCAACAAATTGTAAGTTAATGCTTAGTAAGTTCCCCAAAGCATACTCCACACAATCCACATAATTCATATTAACTATAAAAGGTACATAAACCATATAAGTCATGCATACAAACATATAAGGATGCAGTGGGCTCCTCCCAAGGTCTTACTCCAGGATGTCATGGCCTCCCCCACATAGTCTTACATCTAAGTGATATGGACTCCCTCCATGGTCTTTAGCTGGAAAGCCAAAGGCTCCCCCACATGGTCTTACATACAGGTGTCATGGGCTCCCCCATAGTCTTCCCAGCAAGAATCACACATATAACTAGCATACCACTTAGCATAACTAACTATCATACAACGTATCACTACAACAACGAATGTACCACATATCACAAGTAGGTCGGCCTTGGTGCCTTCGACCCATAGGTATGGTGAGTATGGATGCAAACGGGGGCGGATAGTGGCGGGTATTGCGACCCCGTCCCTGTCCCCGACCTCCGCTTCCAGCATCCATCCCCGCCCCCACCCCACTAAATCCCTGACGGAGTTGGGTAAATTAATCTCCGTCGGGTTCGGGGAACCCAATGGATATCCGTTTAGTAAATACATTCCATTTTTTATAAATATAATAAATTAAAAAACGTAAACAATAATCACAATAACTAAAAATTTCAATGATACATATTTCATTCTCAATGATGACAAAATACAAAAAGATGATCACGAAATTCTTAAGTTTTGATAATAAACTAAAATAAAAACAACTTCACTTGAATCTTATTCAAAAAAAGTCTTTGGTCTTCATCACCATCAATCGCCAACAAATATTCATAAACTAAGTATCAAAATCCACGTAGCTTGGACCCTAAACCATCAATTAAAATTTGAAGTCAAATATTTGATTACTAAAAAAAAGATAAGCATGACAAACTTACCAAATCATTATCTTTAACAACTTCAAACTTTGCAAGATGTTTCTCTCTATTGGAATGTGTACCTAGAAATAATCAAATAATTAGATATTAGTATGTTTATAAAGTAAAGTAAAAAGTTTAAAAATAAAAACCCTTACCAAGCTTATCATCCCATAGCCAATCTTGAGCACAAATTAATGTTTCCAATAGATCGGGATGAAGCCTATTTCGATGAGGAGTAACGTGTCTTCCACCGGTACTAAATGCTAATTTGGAAACAACGGTAGACACTGGTATAGCCAAAACATCTCTAACAACTTGTTGCAAATTAGGATACTTAATACCATTACTTTTCCACCATGCTAAAATGTCAAAATCTCCGGTCCTTGGCAAAACATTCTCCTCCAAGTAATAATCTAACTCGGATTTGTAAGTATCAACACTTGAAGTGAAACTCACAAATAAATCAAAACCAGCCAAAGAATCTCCAAAATCATCAATATCCATGCCAAAATCAAAATTAGTAAATGAAGAATGGGTTTCATTGGCATCATGTGGCTTGTATTTGTTTACCAAATCATAAGTCAACTTTCTAATTCGCTCAACTTCTTTTTGGGACTCACCACCATAAATTTGGGGGAAATAATACTCAATCAATTGCATTTTGAATCCTGGATCCAAAATAGTGGCTATGACTAATACTCCATGTATAAGAGACCAATATTGGTCAAACTTCTCGATCATATTGGTAATAATTGCCTTAATCTCCACATAAGGTGAGGTAAGACACTCTTTGAGCAACAACCGAATCTCACAAATTTTTGGGAAAAAATATTAGCAGTTGGATATTTGACACCAGAAAACATCTCGGTCACACTATAAAACACCTTGAGTTTTTCACACATCAATTTTGCCAAATGTCAATCTTGATCACTGGGTGCTTACTTGTAGTTTTTATCTTTGTGTACTAGGCGATTGAAGACCTCCTTGTAAACAATTGCACTCATAAGCATGAGATAAGTGGAATTCCATATGGTTTTACAATCCAAAACTAACTTTCTTTTACTAGAAAGAGATAATCCATCTTTCGCTTCCTCAAAAGTTTCCACTCTCTTTGGAGTGGCAGGCTAATAAACAACACTCTCACGAATACACTCAACCTCACTTTGAATTGCACTTTATCCTTGTTGAACAATCAAGTTCAAGATATGTGCACAACATTTCATGTGAATAAATTTTCCTTTCAAAATTAAGTTATCAGGTCTTAACTTTTCTTTCATTTTTTCAATCATGGAATTATCAACACTACAATTATCTAAAGTTAAAGTATATAACTGTCACACCCCAAAACCAGAACGGCGGAAACGTTCAGGGGTGGAGGCCGTTATGTTTAGTATCAAGAGACATGTATATGGTAAGCAAGTAATAAACAACCATTTCATTTCGAAAGAAAGTGTTTAAAATGTGTGTGTTCACAAAACATAGAAGTCATAAACAAATAACAAAACAAGACTTGAAGTTATAATGCTCCATCTTCTGAAATTCCCAGCACGAGCACCTGTCTAATAGTCTCCTGAGAATACAAGTTATTTGAAAGAGTTGATCAGCAATTAAGCTGGTGAGTTCATAAGATGTTAGTGATGTGAGTAAGTTGTAAAGCATTGTGGAAAATGTATAAGTAAAAGTGATGTACGTTGTAAGTTCTATTTTGAAAGGTTCGTTTGTTCTTCTAGAAAATCATATATTTCCTACTCGAATGAAAGTTAAGTAAAATGACACTACAAGCCTTTCTATGGGTACTAAGTGGGTATAAGTTATATATACTCAGAGTAAACAAACAATCGATTGTGCGCATCTGCCCCAATCTCACAACCCAACGGGGAACAGAAAGTAAGGCGGATAGCACACATTCCATTGGTTGTTAGATCGTTGTCATATATAACCCTGGTGTATTCACTTGTTACTCATGGAGTTATTTGTAATGGTTGAAAAGTTTTTTTAAGAAAACCTATATTCCTTATAGTAAAATAATGACTACGGTGACTACTTTTATAATAGATTTGTTTATACTGCTATATATAATCTGATACCGGGTAGAAAGTTAATTAAGTGAATCTGCCCTACGCCCACAATCCAACAGGAACAGGAAGTAACGCGGAAAACACACATTTAACTATCTATTGGATATTAGTTTTATATATAAACATGGTGTATAAACTAAGGTGTTATAGAGTTACTCACCTAAAGTCTCTAAAAATGTACTGGCTTAATAAAATGGATTAAGCCCTTATTTGGGAAAATCTCTAGTTTTGTATACCAAAATACTGACTTTGAAAAGTAAGTTTTGTACTAGAAAAGTTGTGCGTTGACTCTGTGTCCTATAACCTGATCCATACCCGGTACCCTTATGATGACTTAATGGATACTAAGCATATATATATATATATATATATATATATATATATATATATATATATATATATATATATATATATATTCGGGTAGATAATAGATTGGGTGACCTCATTCCAAGCCCACATCCAACGGGAATAGGAAATGAAGCGAAGAGCACACATTCTATTAGTTATCGGAATCTATTAGTATATATGTATCCTATAGTGTATACATTAAGGAATCATAAAGCTAGCATTATGATCCTAACCTTTAATCGTAGCCTTCTACCAAGGCATCTTTTGTTCTGTGTTAAACCCGACCATTCCTTTGTCAAATGTAAAAGTATATTCTCCCTAGTTTATAACTATCTTGACTAGAAAATAGATCAACTTTCAAGTGGTACTAACACTTTATGAAAGTAATGGGAAAAGTAAGTACACAGATGTCGTTTATAATGACATGCGGATGTACTAATAACCTAAAAACATATCTGTTTTATTACAGTCATAATGTGAAAGCTAGAACCCCTACTAAACGCTCTCAATGTAAAGAGATTTAGGGAACCAAACGCGACCCCAACAATTTCTTGCAAGCCGTGTAATTCACATTTAAAGTTATATGATCATGTATACCCAATATAATTATCACTAATGCGTTAGTGATTCATTGATATAAATAGATCATGTTTGTGTGTTCTCATTCTATAGCAACTTAACCCGTTTGTTATGTTCTATTTTGCTATTGTTTGATTCTCTTCACTGTTTGTTCTGTTATGGTACTGTTTGATTCTCTTCACTATTTGTTCTGTTATGGTACTGATTCTTTGTGTGCTTCATTGTACTAGAAGTAATGAATAGCATTC